TTGGAAACCACACACAAAGAAGGTTCTAATCGAATTATAAATGGTTAACATGATTAAATTAATTATCTTATTTGAATAATACTTATACTTGTAAATGTTGTCAGGTATTCATGTATGGAGTATGAGCCAGCTACGAAGTCAAAATTCATGCATTCTTTATTTATGGTGAAGTAAGTCATTATATAGCCTTCATGTCTTCGAGTTTAATATTATATGAAGAGAGTTGTGGTTGCCATTAGCGCACGTCTTGACCGAATGAAAATTGAGTTCATTTGAACTTTTAGAACTCAAGATATGGGCAGAATACTAAACAGTGTCTAGGCTACAAAATTGGGCGATGAAAATGCCAAGTATTTTTTATACCAAGTGTTATACAATATAAATCTAGATTAACCATTTAACAAGCAAAGTATTAAGAGTAAACAAAATAACAAATACAAAATATGTTAGTATCAAACATTAAAATCCATGTTGAGTTTACACTATACTTAATCTTACATTATTAGTATAATCTTTTCATCTTGACATAATAAACTTAACTAAATATAATGAAAGAAAAGAAGAATAAATAAACATAAGAATATAAATAAGATATAAGTTAACTAAGTAAAGGAAAGGAAATGAAAAGCATAAACAAGAGATTAATGAAAGCAAAACTTAAACATTACAAAAATATAAAGAGAAAGAGTAAGAACATGATCTTGATCTTGATCTGAAAATCAAAATGCCTAAATGCATGGAATATGCCTCCTTTTATAGGTCAAAATTAGAAATTATTGATTTGTTGACTAATTATTGAGTGGGTAGCCAAATCTTGACTTGGTGATAATCCTTATCTTTTTGTTTGAACAAAACATTATTGCTATCATCAGAATTTGAATAGACTTAATTCATGAAAGTTCTAAGAAATTATCTCAACTTTCTAATTAATGAAAATTGAGTTCATTTGAACTTTTAGAACTCAAGATATGGGCAGAATACTAAACAGTGTCTAGGCTACAAAACCAATTCCAACTTCTCTTTTGATGCTAAAATTTGGACTTTCAAATGGTAAAATTGAGTGTTGGATAATACATGAATGTTTTATGCCTATGTCTTAGCTTTCCATCCATATAAAACATACCCAAATTCAAGTTCTACAGCTCCATATATGACCCAATGACTATACAGTGTTCTAGTTTGGATTACATCAGCATCTCTTTTCTAAACTCAACCATTTCTTTATCTTCTCAATTTCAATAGTTAAACTCATTTATCAATCATTTTATTTATGTTATAGGCCTGCATTAAGATGAAAATTTAACATAAATTAAAGGTATCTTATAATATTAGACATGATATTATAAAACATGCTCCAGTTATGGAGTTATTAATATTTCAAGTGCAAAAATGATAATATAAAACTTTGATAAAAATACACTTTTAAGAACTAATCACACTCCTTAACCAGCTTATTACTAGTCCCTAGTAATCAAAGCGTTAAAATAAAAAGACAATATGCAAGTTTCACAAAGCAAGGCATTCATCATTTAACTTTTATTAATCTATTTAGATAAACAAATTCTCATTTAATTTATATATCTACCCTCTTTACCAAGATATTCATAAACCTTTCTTTTATGCTTAATATATCAATACATGGTTATGAGGCTTTACTTGGAAGAAAATAAAATTTTATTATAATGTATAAGGTCAACTTCCTTGGGTTAGAACCATTCTCTCTTCTTTTTTTTTGAATATATACATATAACTTAATAACTTCTTTGGGTTAGAACCATTCTCTCTTTTTTTTTTAATATATACATATAACTTAAAACACAATGCATCTTTGAACCATGTAATGAGCTTTCTGCTAATGACTCCTCGACCAGTTAGTCTTAGGGCATTAGGTGTTGAGACAACCTTACGAGCTTAGCAACTCAGGTTGCAGATACTGATACGTAGATAGTGCAATGTTTGATTTTCTTAAGCTTTTCTCCTCAACCCATATAACAAGACATTGTCCTTAATGTTCTAAGGTATAAAAATAAAGACATCACTGAAGCAACGACTACTAACAAGTCTGAAACACACTTAAATAAATATGAGAGATAACAAAACAAAAAAAAATATTATTTTATTAATAAAACTAAAAGACATAATTTTTTACCAACAAAAACTCAAATCGTAGTTATGATTGTGGCTCATATCTTTTCTTGGTTTGATGTCAAAGAACAGTTTAAACGCCTTCTATAGGTAGGGGATATACTTCCCATCTAGTTTTCTTAAAAACTAACAAACATGGTCTTTTTTAGTTCGATTCCCAAGACTATGATAAGCATGTTCTTTATAAAAAAGGGTTATAAATCATAAATTTCATGATGCATATCTCTACTATGATGGGACTTAAGAGTTAACAGAAGATTATCTAAAGATTCTCTTTGTTTTGAAATAAATCCCACATTTGGATAATTTTCAAAGTTTTTGCAGAATACATGTGTCTTTGAATATGGTGGGCCAATAAAATCCACATTACAAGATTTTTACAATTGTTTTTTTATGAGAAATGACTCTCACATCAGGCCAATAAAATCCACATTACAAGATTTTTATAGTTGTTTTTTTATGAGAAATGACTCTCACATGCCTTAGAGTGATAAAATTTAATGATACTACTTACCTTATTGTCGGGAATGCAACTTTAAAATATTTGATCAGGACAATATTTGAATAAGTAAGGTTCATCTCAATAAAAGTTTTGCACTTCATTTAAAAACTTTCTTTTGTCTTGGTTATCCAAATGAGTTGGCAAAAATCACGAAGTAAGAAAATTAATATTTTTAGCAAACCAAGGCACTAAACTAAGAGAAAGTAAAGATTTATCAGGAA